ACTTACTTCTGCAGCAGAATGCATTGGTGCCTGAGAGCGGCAATGAGACTGAGCCTGTGACTATGGCCTCCGCAGGTTGCTGGACACCCCCCCCCCCCCCCCCCCCCCCCCGTGCTTCCTTCTTGATCTGAATTGAAGCGCGGGCTTAACTGACTCAGGGCAGGACGGCCAGGGTTAATGCTTGACTAATACGGGGCGTTATTTACACCCACACTGTGAAGTGGAGTTCCATAGCTCTAGTCAGGCCTGGTTTTCCTTTGCTGTGGCTGACCAGCAGGAAACAGGGGACGTAAGAAAATAGAGGAGAAAAGTTAAAGTGTTTGCTTTATGTATTTTTTCCCCACCTCTAGACGTACAGACAAAATGCTGGAAAATGCCTAAAGGGCACCCTAAACTTTCATTATTTGTAGCGCTTTTTGATTTTTCCATTTAGTGACTCAGCATTTTTGTCACAGTTTTTGTACAGTAGGCTGATTGACTCCAAGCGGTATAAGAATAAAGAGTGACCGCTATTTGTGTTGTGTTATCACAATGGGTAGAGATGCAGAAAAGGAACGAGGAGCTAGAGTGCAGGGTACGGATGGATACATTCTTAATCAGTGCTTGCCGGTTCCTCAAACCCCAGTGTATGCCGGAGGAGAAGGTGTGAAAAGCTGCAATTACTGGAGAGTGCATAGCGTTGCAGGGAGAGTTAGCTGGCCAAGTTTACCAGGGCTTGAGTGTCTTGACGAGCTAGCCCGGTTTAACCCGCATCACGCTCTGTTTAGCAGCTACAGAGGGATGATGACCTCCTCTATTTAACAGACCCATACCGAATAAGACTTTCGGAAAGTGTGATTCATGTAGGAAGTGAGGTCACACTCACTGTGTGAATCATTGATACGGATCTTCATATTGAAATAGTGGAAAGTTAAGTTTGTTTCTCCCCGTTTAATTAGATAATTTTACTCTTTTTGTAGCAAGAGATGTTTAATGTTTGGTTCTGTCTGTTGTTGGGTAGTTATTGTCATGCACTGTGGTTGGAAATAAAACTTAAAAGCTTGCAGAATGTTTTGATTTATAATCCTTTGTTAGTTACTACATGAACTGCTGTGATTTTTACCCCCTCTCTCTTTTTTTTTAAACCAGATGTGGGAAGACAAATGAAGGGGTTTAGATGCCAAATAAATGTCAGTGGAAAGGAGAGCTACCGACACTAAGGTACGAAAAAGTACTGTGGGAGAGTCTGTACTATATAAAATAGCTTTTTGAGTGGGAAGCTGGAGAACTTGGCATTCTAGCTTGAAAAATGTTGAATGAGTCTACACTAACTTCTGTTCTGTTCTGGAAGGAACTGTGTATTGAAGTTTTGGGTTATTTTTAGAATCAATTAATTTCAAACTAGAAATTTTTTTTATTGCTGCAGTGTAATTTGATCATTTTAGTCTTTCAAAATGAGATGCAAAATAATTGTATCCCACAGTTCTTGATAATGATGACCTGTTTGCCCAATTATTTTTTTTTTGTTTTTTGTCTTTAGAGACCTGACTATTTTACCTTGATTGACAGTTAGAAGTCCTATTGATTAATTGGAAAGTAATATCAAGTTTAGTTTATCGTTGTTGCTTAAGACAGACATTCCTTTAATTCTTTGACCACATCTTGGCATCTTCTTTACTTTGGGTATCCATTCTTACATTCAGAGTGTTCCCTAATGTTGCTTTTTGTTTTTGTCCTGCTGATAAGATGATGACTTAGGAGTTTCTGTTCCTTGTAAACAAAGATTCCCTTTGGAAAATCCCTTATGAAAACCTTACTGGGGACAGTCATGATACATAAATACTTAAGGGAAATCTTTTTAGGTTAGGATTAAAGAATCTCCATAGTGAAGGAAAAGAGATAGGAAATTTATTTGGTAGGGTATCACTCTTTTGTAATACAGAAACAAGTGTTTCATGAAGAAGGAGGGAGTGAGTTCTGGTAGAGGTCTTTGTGAATTGCTTACCTGTTCCTGGAGTGAGGAGGAGCAGAGCTGACAATGTGATGAGGTGGGGTGAGCCTTCTTGTGCAAGGTGGGAGTGAGCGCATTGATGAGGATTGTCGAAAAGGAAAGAAATTGTTCTGTTCTTTTCCAAGGAGAGCTATCTGCTATCCCTACAGAGCAATGTGGTTTGTAGCCTTTTCCTTTTAGATAGTTGTTTTCTCTCTGGAGAGTGGATGGGGGAATCGATCCCTTTCCTGGGAAGACATACTACCTTATCCAGTTTGCAGATAAAGAATACTCTAATTAACATTCAAAGCTCAGCTTTTAAAACCTTAGAAGGGAAGGAATTGAGCAGGATTTACTCTGTGAGTGAAATATCTTCATCCCTTTCTCCAGTTTTCTCCCTGAAGGCTAATAGGTGGGAGGACTATCTTGGGAAATGAGTGACTGACATTGCACTTTGCACTTTAACCTTTCAAACTTTTGCTCAACAGTAAATTAGTCTAGACTTAAAAACAATTATATTTTAGACTAAAATTATAAATTGCAAAGCTGGTCTTCTGTGCTATATGTTTTCATTTGTTCAGTTAGTTATTCATTCTGGAGGTTGGCATGGGGAGCCGAGAGAGTGCTGTTTCTTGGGTAGTCACGGAGACTTGCAGCCTGTGTGTTCTTCTTTTAGTCCAGGGGTAGGGAAAGAAATAGATAAAAACAGAGACAGTGAAAAGAGGGGAAATGACATACATAGAGAGAAATGCTGGTGGTATGGGTCCAGTGGTGTTTGTGAGCCTTTTAAAGATTGATAAGCATAAAGAAACTGTCATATGAGGGGGAAAAAGTTTCCTTTCTGAAGACTGGATTTATTAATTTTCTGTAGTTTTACTAAATCCCTACTAGTAAACATAGTCTTCTTTCTGTAAACAGTGCTATAGACAAACTTTTGAACAAGTGTTTGGCAGTTTGTAAGTATACCCGTGGCGTGTAGTTCTGATTGAGGTTGGTGAGGTTGTGAACATGAGAAATTCGTTTTATACTAGACTCTATTTTATAATAGAAGATAATGTTTTCTCAGCCACAGGAGGAGGAAGAATTTAAAGATTACTATGAACTGGGCTTCATATCATGTGCCTGTTGTCAGCATTTGGGAAGCTAAGCCAGGTTTTTGAGAGTTCGAGGCTACCACAATCTAGACAGCATGCAATAAGACCCTGTCTCAAATGTGTTTTATAAGTCAATTTAAGACATTTTTGGAATGTCAGATAATTAATTTGAACTGGTAAATGTCAAAATACTGTAGTTTAACCCTGGTGTCAACAAATGTAAACCACTTATATGTGGTAAAATGACCGTACCTTTTAGGTTTGTTTCAGAGTTTCTATTTTCTGTTAATTAAAAACTTTTATATAGTGGGGTATGGTGGCATACACTTTTAATCCTGGCATTTGGGAGGCAGAGCAGATCTCTGTGAAGTGTGTATAGCCAGTTCTAGGCCTGTTAGGATTAAATACATAAAATAACAAAAAATAAAAAAACCAGCTTTATATAGTTTATGTTTTTGCTCTGCTAAAGTTAACTGAAATTAGTCATAAAAGAAATAAATGACACACCATTTCTTCCTTATCTTTCACAATCCGAGTTTGTCTATTCAAAGTAGACTAGGTGATGGGACCCGAGAGCCAGAAATCCCTCTGCAATCCAGAGCAGTGTTGGTGAATTCCTGTGTCAAAGAGGAAATAGGTATAGATTTAGACTATTCTGCAAAGAGTTGGTGAGCAGAATAAGGGAGGTTCAAAATTTAAATTTGAAGTTGTATAGGTGACTCATGTCCAGGGTGAGGTTCAGGAGCCTTTGTCTTTTTGAAATGAGAGACCAGCAAGAAATAAATACTGAGAGGCTCAAGTGCGGTGAAGCTGGAACTCCCGAGTGGCGGTTTCCCTGGATGGTGTCCAGGGTCTATTTTGAGGCCCTGTCAAAACTTGCCTGACAGATCTACCACATAACTGTAATCTGGCCTGGCCCTGCTGCAAGTCAGGAAGACCTGCGGTTTAGGGAAAGTGGCAACTGCAGAGGAGGGAGTTATGAAGATCATTTGCCTTCAGAAGACTGAGGCTAAGTTTTGGGGTGAAAATCTGCTGAGCGTCTATATTACATATTCTAGCACCCAGGTGTTTTATGTTTTAGTATCCAGGTTTTTGTTTTCTATTACTTATTTTCTTATTTTTGGAAAGAGTTTGGCTATAGAGAACTAAAGAGAAATGTTTGGAATAATGTGCATGAGGAGGAACATAGGACTGTCTCCGCTCAGTGTCTTATACTCCGGTTCTCGGAGCGCTGGCCGTGTTATGGGTACAGGGAGGACATTTATTTGATATGATCCATTTCAGAGTTCTTCACACTTGCCACTGGGATCTTGGAATAACGACTCTTCTACAAGAGTGTCTGGAATTCTCACAGCTAAATTAGTTTCCTACTCTTTTTTTCCATGAAAGTGTTGTAAAATTTTGTCTTTAATTTTTTCCATATTTTAATATTGTATACACTGGGTTTGGCTATGTAAGTTAGAGGACAATTTGAAAGATCTGGGTGTCCTACCATATGGCTGCTGGGTATGGAGTTCTGGTTGTGATGTCTGGGGCAAGCAAGTATCCTTCCCTAGTGAGCCAGCCTTCTTCTGGCCCTGAAGTTGTACCTTTAAACTCGTTTTTTAACAGGTTGCATAGTTATCTCCTTGTGCTTCATGAAAACCTTGGTGCATTTTTTTTTGGTTGTTTGTTTAGTGAGCACTTAGGTTTAAAGTTCTTTAGGTGATCTCACTTTGACTAGAAAGCTGTTGAACAACTTACTGTTACACCCTTGTTACCAAGGTTCACGTCTCTGTATTTCACTGCTGAGCTGTACTACAGTCAAGGGTTTCTGAAGGATTCAGCTTGCAGGTATAGTTTATAGATGTGATCTTGCAAAAGGTTTCCTGGTCATTCGAATTAGATTATGTTGTTACTTCAGGAATTTAGTTGTGGGGTCATTAGCATTTCACGATGATGCCCTTAGGGTTCAATGTAAGGAGTGCAAAATGACCAATAGTTTCTTTTTCTTCTGTTATCTACTTTGTTCCTATCATCTATCTCTTCTACTCTCAGTCTGTCTCCCCTAGAACAATAAGACAAAACAAATAGAACTCAGGGTGAGCTGAGGATGTGAAAGATTGGGGGAAACCCGAGTGCACATCAGGGTGTTTTTATTTTCTGAGAAGGGAACTGAAAGGATCACATACTTCACTTTCGCCATTGTTTTCACTTTGAACCTTGTATATATCTTATGTCTCTTCATATGAGCATCATATTTTCAACTAGTTTTGATGTGATAGATATATTTAGTGCTTTTGAAACATTTAATTTTTAAGCTACTTACAAGCAGTTTGTTATTCTTCCTGTAGTCCCACTTTCAAATAGAAACATTTTAACAGCTAAGAATTAAGTATACTGTCTACAGACAGATGTTAAGATACTTATTTTCTCATTAAACGGTTTAAATGACCTATGTTTAATAAAATTGAATAAACTTAGCAAAGCATTTTTTTAAAAATATTTATTTATTTGTTATATATACAATNAACATGGTTTAAACCAAGATACATACGTTTTGTCGGTCAACGTTACGGTGCATTACCTGCTAAAAAATGCCAGCATGGTCTCATGGATTGGAATCGCCTGGACCTTGCAGTTCAGCTGCAGGTAGACCCACATGAGTAAGGTTTTCAGGAGGTGAAACTCACTAAAGGTGAACAACCTGGTGGAAAGGGCAGACGGAGAAGAAACATTAGGACTAGGAGGGAAAAGCCACTTGGAAGAGAAAGGAAAGGTAGAAACGAGTCTGGGGGTGAGACACAGCCAGCCAGAGCCTCTAAGTGGCCTCGGACAGTAAGATGCTGAGTAACTTGTTCAGGGCGACTTGACTCAGCTGAGGGAGAGCTAGGAACCAGAGGCTGGGCCCTGTACTCCGAGCTGCCTGCCATGCTGCTACTGAAGTGTTCTCGTTTGGCGAGCTCTCACCGAAAGCTGTGTTCTCAAGTCGTTACGGGTTTTTTTTTTTAAATATTTATTTATTTATTAAGCATCCAATGTACTGCTGGCAAGGAAGGCACCAGGTCTCATTACAGATGGTTGTAAGCCACCATGTGGTTGCTGGGAATTGAACTCGGGACCTCTGGAAGATCAGCCAGTGCTCTTACTCTCTGAGCCATCTCTCCAGCCCCCTACCATTTTTAAAATAAAACTAAGTACTTCAGCTAAGTGATTCAATGGTTATAGGATTAAAGATAGGCAAATATTTCAGTTTCAAATGAATTTTTCTCCCATCTTACGGATAATGCTTTATTTATGTGGACAATCAAGGACATGAGGTCATTGTCTCCTTGTCTTGCCAAACTCATCCCTTGCAATCCACACCAGTTTATTTATTTATTTATTTTTGATTGTGGTAAACTTAAATATCATTAACACATTGAGTTTTCCCATTCTTTTCATTGTGGAAAATGTATACAATGTAAAATTTAAGTCTCTTCCACCCTTCCTCTCTTGAGTGCTGGGGACTGGGTCCAGGTCCTTGTACATGCTATACAAACCCTCTACCGCTGATCTCCACCCTAACCCCTTAAACCATGTGTAATTGTACAATTTCGTGGCATTACAGTACATTCTAATTGTGGCGCAGCCACCTAAACATCTATCTCCAGGACTTTTTTTTCACCTTAGACTGAAAACTGCGCATCAGACTGTAACTACTCACTTCCTCTAACCCTTGGCAGCCACTTTGCTACTTTTGGCTCTGTGATTTAACTACTCTACTCTAGGTACCTCACATATTTCTGGAATCCCATATTTGTCCTCTGTGTCTGGCTTATTTTATATAGCATAATGCCATCAAAGTCATTCATGTTGAAGCGTCCATGTTTGACTTCTGTTGATTGCTATTTAGGTCTCCCACCTTTTGGTTATTGTGAATAATAATACCAAGGATGTGGGTATATGACTGTGCATTTAAGTCCCATTTGTTATTTTGTGTATATACCCTTATGTTCTCTGGAAGAGCATCCAGTGCTCTTAACCACGTATCTCTAGCCCCACATCTTTTAAAACATAAGTTTTATTAGTATTTATATATTTAGTATGCACACACACAGAGACACAGTGCTGGGGTCTGTACATGGATGTGTGTTCCTGTGCTCACAACATTCATGTGGAGGTTGGAAGACAACTCTGTGGATGTTCTCTCCTCCCATGTTTACATAGGTTTGTAGGGATCAAACTCAGGTTCTCAGACTTGGTGGAAAATACCTTCACCTACTGAGCCATCTTACTGGCCCTTAATTTGTTATTATTGCATTTCAGTTCTTTATATATCCTAGACACCAACCCTTTGTTTACAAATGTTTTCTCCTGTCGATTGCTGTTTTACTTTGCTAATAGTGTGCTTTGATGCACAGAATTTGAAATTTGGTGAAATCTGGTTTGTCTATTCCTTTTACTGCCTTTAATTTTGTCAAATTTAGCAAGAAATGTTTGTCAAATCCTATGTCATGATGATTTTCCTGTGTTTTTTTTTTTCCTTTTTAAAAATAATTTATTTAACTTTTTATTTTATGTGCGTTAGTGTGAAGGTGTCAGATCCTCTGGAACCGGAGTTACAGACAACTGTGAACTGCCATGCAGGTGCTGGGAATTGAACCCTAGTCTTCTGGATGAGCAGTCAGTGCTCTTAACCACTGAGCCGTCTCTCCAGCCCCTCCTGTGTGTTTCCTTTGAAAAGATTTGTAGTTCATATATTTAGGCTTTGATGCATCTTATGTTAACTTTTGATGTTTTGGTTATGAGCCTAGCCTTTGACAACTGAGCTGTTTTGGTTGTGATGTGAGCTAACTTGCCGCGGACCGTCCCTCTCGGAGACCACCACCCACGGGGGACCAAGGTGAAGGATAGGATAGTCAGGATACGATGCAAGGGAAATGACAGACAGACACACTGTGTAGTGAAAATCTGCTGCAATTTTACTTCTGTAAAGCTTCAGTTTTTGTACAAAACAGATCAAAGAACTTGGCAGGTGCATTACATCACCCCACTCAGGGTTCCAGACATAAATCAAGATTAAGCATAACCAAAATAGAGCTTCTTCTACGTGCTCCTTTCTACGTGTTCCCCCTTCCGTGCTCAAGATGTTGGCAAGGACTTTTAGTTTTGTTTTGTCTTTTAGAATTCTGTCTCACACCATTATTTACTTTCTACCGTGGGAGACTAGTTCTCAGGGTCCTGTGTTTAGCTTTCCATCTATATAGTTTTTATTCTTTGCTCCATATCCCCTAATAGTTTTCTCATTTTCTCATGATAGTTCCTATACCAATATATTAAAACTAGTCTCATGTTATCAATAATTTCCTTTCTTTCCTTCTTACTATAAAGACTCCAGGGCTTCTGAGATCTAGCTAATCTTTTCATAAAGGGGAATTTTCTCTAACTCTCCTTTTCTCTCTAAATCTGATTCACTATGACGATTCCCTCGTAACATATCAACTTTAGCCGCTTCTGTTTCATAAATAATAAAGTTTCCCAGGCTCATGTGGCGTGGGGCATACTTCAGTTCCTCAAGGACTGCTTTATTGAACAGTGGAGCCAAGCCAAGGACGTACTTTGATCTCTTGGTAAGCGGTCAGCTGCAAACAGGAAAATTAAGAAATACAGAGAAAGATCAAGCAAGGTGTTAGGAGGGCTCGCTCTCAAGGCCATCTCCAGATACGAGATTTGCCTAGGGCATCAGGTCCTCTCTGGACTGCTGATTGCCAGGGGGACCACCTGGGGCTTCGCTCCAAGAAGCTCTAACCCCAATCCTTCAGCAGGCAAAAGCCAGCGCAGAGGCATTTTGTCACTACACGGCAGTCACTGCTGTGGACGTGGCAGGTCTCCCTTTTTTATTTTTAAAATGAAGCTCGAACACCTCCTGTTCCACTGCCTGTAATGAAGAGAATAAGCACTTTAAGAGACAGGGGAATAAAAAGATGACCAATACTATCAAGAGTATAATTACTCCAATGAATACAAAGTACTGTACCCAATTTAAGGGATTAAGGCTCTTAAGTCCACGTTCCAATTGTGAAGCCAAATCTTGCAGTCCCCCTAATTGTAAATGAGATTGACTCATAGCAGAAATATCCTTTTGTAATGCGGCTAAATCATGAGTAATATCGTTATCCTGCCACAATCCCTGTAGGTGAGCCTTAACTTTATCCCATGGCTGTGAAGTATTATAAGGTAATGGTGTGACACAGATTGATTTAAAATTATCATGACAACGTGTCGATAGAGTTGTTTTTAAATTAGCAATGTCCTGACCAAGAGCGAGCACTACTTCCTCCAGCACATTTATTTTTGCTTCCAGCTTCTTTTTGAAATGAAGAAATCCAACCAGAATTAACCTAACATAGTCAAATTTCCAACACGTTTTACGGTTTCTTTTCAAATTCAGTATTTGCAGGTATGAGAAACCAAAGCAAATACAGTTCGCGCCCCCTCTGGCCTTCTACAACTTCCCACACACCCTCGGTCAGACTTTTCCTGTCACCCTCTGCTCTTCTGGCCCAGCCAGACATTTTACTTTAGACGAACTCCTCTTTCCCTTCCCTTCTCTTCACTATTCCAGTCTCCTGCCTTCTCTTACTTTCCACACAACATGAAAACTTTTACCAAAGTCCTTCCTGTGGTTCCTCTCTGGACTTTGACTTCTTTTCCTTAAATCTCTCTCTTTCTAAGCAGAGACACAAGGAGCCTTTGCAGAGCATACTGCTTTTATGCAAATCTCTTCTTTCCCATAAAAATGGCCCCTTGCTTTTGCCCCCCCTTTTTTACTATACTTAAAGCTGCTCTAGTTTCTTCTCTTTGAAGACTTCTTCATTTGCTGCTGGAGCTGCTTTTTCTGCTTCCGCCACCGTCTTTTCCTTCTTCTGTTTTGCAACAGCAGGTCGGATGAGGCGATCTGGGATCCAAATGGGGGAGTCAGCATTCTGTGGAAACACACAAGCATACCCTCGTCCCGAGGTGATTAGAACATCCCTGTTCTAGTTTTTTGGCTCTTTAGGTTCTTCCTCTCCTTCTTTAGTGAGAGGAGAGCCATTTTTATAATATTTTGATTTACACTCACTACTCCAATGTTTTCCCCTTTTGCACCGAGGACATATGCCTGGTAACTTTTTTTTTGTCCTGAGCTTTTGGATTTCTTGCAATCCCTTTGAATGTGCCCAGGTTTTCCACAATTATAACAAGTAGGAGCGGTGATGTCTTCTGCACCCCCTCCATATTAAATTCTATACTATAGAAGTAGCAAATAACAGATATCTATACAACAGTAAAAATAGACTCATACCTTTGAGCCCCAGCAAAAACACAGAAAGTCCTGAGCTTGTAACCCAAACAGCATGTAGTCATAGTTTTTACTGTTTATTAGTATTATCTTAAATTACTTTTTAAACCTTTAATGTTTATGAACTTTTATATCCTCAGACCTTTATATATAATGAGCTAACAAGCTGGCCGTAGCTTTGTGTAAGGATCTGGATATCCTTTTTGCTCTTAAACTGATATTATAGCTGACCTAGCCATTAATACAATCAGAGATCTTAGAAGAATAAACAAATTATACTTAAGTCCAGACAAAACAGAAAAGTGACAGAGACCAGCTCATATATAGTCATACCCAGGTCTGCATAGCATTTGAGGCAGAAGTATCAGAACAGCAGGCTTTACCAGATCCATAAAGTGATTGGTTTCTGTGGAAGAGGGACATGCAAAAGACTGACCTTACTTCGTCTGGGCAAAGTGGTGCAATCAATTTTCCAAGGTCCTCCTGTTTGTCCACAGTCTGGACCAGATCCAGGCAGCTGGTGTTGCACTGGGGGTCATCTTACCCAGTGGTCAGCATCGTTGTTATCCATGTGGAGACCTTGGGTCATTGTTAGGATCTCAGAGTCTCTGTATGATATAAGCTTTTTAAATTTTTATTTTAAATGCCATTTTCTATAGATTTTTGAAGTATTTAGGACTGTCCAGGTATCTCTGATTAGACAGACTCTATTATTTTAAATTACTTGCATTTACACCAGTACTTTGAGGATGACTGATTATTAACTCATATTTTTAACAGTTTGTATCTTTAAGAAGACCAGAACTATATACCATATTTTTGTCAGATTGAAACTTTAAGTCAATAATTTTAACAAAGACAATGAGGCTAAAATTCAAAAATTAACAATATGAAACATTTTATAAGTATTTATGTTTTACAACCTATTTTATTGTAGTTAACAGTTTTGGTGATTATCATCTGACCTTGGTGTTTTTCTTTGTAACTTTTTTTCCTTTTTGGGAGTCTAGTCCCAGTTTTTCCCGGTGGTAACTGACATTCTTGTATATCAATAAAGAACAGCATAAAACAGTTTTAACATTATTTATATCAAAAAGACATCCAAATTTTTGTGAACCGAATCTAATGACCAGAGCTCAGAGAAAGATTACAAGTACAAAACTTACAATTACCAAAGATTAATTTTTTAACAAAACAAGCATACATTTTTTAAAAAGAAAAAACCATGAACCTTTAACAAGACAAACAAAGCTTTTTAAAACCAGAATTAACCATTAAACATTTAGGTACAGTAAACATCTTTTGACCTTTTATATACCTTTTATGACCTTTTATATACCTTTTGTAATTTTTAGTTTTGACCCTCTTTCATCTTTATTTTATTGGTTAAGCCAGACATTTTTAGACAACCCCCTTTTTTTATTATTATTATTATTATTATTATTATTATTATTATTATTATTATAGTTTTAAATTGGTATGATTTAAAACTTTTTATAATCAGTGTTAGGATAGGAAAGAGTTAAGACAGGAAACTGCTGGCCAGCATAAGAGACTTTGAGTGTTATCACAGTGAAGAACTTAGCTCAGAAAAGAAAAGAGGCACAGAGAGTGTCTTTAAATTCCCCACATTTATAACAAGTGGGAGCCGAGAGGTTCTATTGACCTCCTCCATAGGTTTTCTTAACTTAGGCGCTTAATTTCTATCCCTTCATTCCTTCAGCATAGGCCATCTCTAGGACTATGTCTGGTGAGGCATCCATACATGCTTTATGTTGCCCCATGGTTCCCTTATACTTAGATTACTCACACTTAACCGGTCATCCTTTACCGGCGAACCTGCAGCGTCCTGGTGAGAGTCGTTCCTGACTATGGAAAAATAAAAGAGAAGGGGGAAAAGCTTACCTATCCTCCAGTCCCTGTTCCGAGCGCCAACTGCCGCGGACCGTCCCTCTCGGAGACCACCACCCACGGGGGACCAGGGTGAAGGATAGGATAGTCAGGATACGATGCAAGGGAAATGACAGACAGACACACTGTGTAGTGAAAATCTGCTGCAACTTTACTTCTGTAAAGCTTCAGTTTTTGTACAAAACAGATCAAAGAACTTGGCAGGTTCATTACATCACCCCACTCAGGGTTCCAGACATAAATCAAGATTAAGCATAACCAAAATAGAGCTTCTTCTACGTGCTCCTTTTTCCGTGCTCAAGATATTGGCAAGGACTTTTAGTTTTTGTTTTGTCTTTTAGAACTCTGTCTCACACCATTATTTACTTTCTACTGTGGGAGACTAGTTCTCAAGGTCCTGTGTTTAGCTTTCCATCTATATAGTTTTTATTCTTTACTCCATATCCCCTAATAGTTTTCTCACTTTCTCATGATAGTTCCTATACCAATATATAAAAACTAGTCTCATGTTATCAATAATTTCCTTTCTTTCCTTCTTACTATAAAGACGCCAGGGCTTCTGAGATCTAGCTAATCTTTTCATAAAGGGGAATTTTCTCTAACTCTCCTTTTCTCTCTAAATCTGATTCACTATGACGATTCCCTCGTAACATATCAACTTTAGCCGCTTCTGTTTCATAAATAATAAAGTTTCCCAGGCTCATGTGGCGTGGGGCATACTTCAGTTCCTCAAGGACTGCTTTATTGAACAGTGGAGCCAAGCCAAGGACGTACTTTGATCTCTTGGTAAGCGGGCAGCTGCAAACAGGAAAATTGAGAAATACAGAGAAAGATCATACAGGGTGTTAGGAGTGCTCGCTCTCAGGGCCATCTCCAGATATGAGATTTGCCTAGGGCATCAGGTCCTCTCTGGACTGCTGATTGCCAGGGGGACCACCTGGGGCTTCGCTCCAAGAAGCTCTAACCCCAATCCTTCAGCAGGCAAAAGCCAGCGCAGAGGCATTTTGTCACTACACGGCAGTCACTGCTGTGGACGTGGCACTAACTTTCTATATAGGATAGTCTGGAGGGTCTGACTTTATCCAAGTATGAAATTCCAGTTTTTTGGAAAGATGATCCATTCTCTTTTGGATGGTCTTGGCATCTCTATTGACAGTCATTTGACCGCATATGGGGATTTATAAATAGGCTGTTTAATTGGTCTATGGGTCTGCTTTATGCCAGTGGCATGCCGTTTTAAATACTGTAGTTTTATAATAAAATTTTGAATCCAGAAGGGTCGAGGGGAGAGAGAGGGCTTATTTGCCCCAAAATTCAAACTCACAGTCGGTTATTGTGGGGAAGTCAAGGCAGGAGTTTACAGCCCACATTCCACCCACAGTTGAGAGCAGAGAGAAATGAGTGCATCCATGCTGCCGGCCTGCTGGCTTGATAGTTTGATTCACTGTCAAACTATAGGAGTTCAGGGTCCAGCGTGGGCAGTGGACTGAGTCAGAAGATAATCTCTCACTGACAGGCCACGGGCAACCCGAACTAGGCAGTTCCTCAATTAAGACTGTCTTCCCAGGTATGTCAAGTTGTCAGTTAAAATTAACCAGCACACTGGACTTTTTATTGAATTTGTAAATTGTTTTGCCAGTTTTGCTGTTTTAGTAGTGCTGTCGTTTAATCTGTGAGCATGGATAGTGTCTTTCAATTAATTTATGCCTCCCCAGTTTCTTTTGGCAGTATTTTCAATGTAGAGACTTTGTCTCCCTGGTTAAGTTTATTCCTAAGTATTTTATTATTTTTGTGCTATCATCAATGGAATTGTTTTCTGAATTTCCGTTTTGGATTGTTGGGATGTAGAAATCTCTTTCTTTTTTTCTCCTTCCCTCTCTGTCTTCTCCCTCCCTCCTTTCTCCAGGGCACCCCCCCCCTTGTTTTTGTATTCTTTGACTTTAGTTAGTTTTTCTGTTCAAAGATTTAAAGATCAGAACTACTGCGTGTAATTATACAAACTTTTAGTAGCTTAAAACAGCATGTATTTGATCTCCTGAGTTTCGGTGTGGACGGAGTCAGAGCTTGAGCAGTTGAGTGGGTTGAGCTGGGTTCTCTGCAGAGTGTTGAGGCTGTCCTGAGGGTGCTGACTCAGCTGAGTCTCTCTCACCTGGAGACTTACCTTGGGGAAAATCCGTGCAAGTTGCTGCCAGAATCGCTATTCCTATGCTTTAGTACTGAGGCTTCTCCTGAGGAACTAGGGATCACTAACTGCTAAAGACCACTGTCGGTTAGCTCCTGGGGCAACCTGCAGTTGTTTGCCATTCTTGTATTTTTATCAAGCCACAGGGAATCCGTGCAGCAAGTCAGCTAACACCATGGTCTTATATAATGTAATACAGTCACCAGTGTGCCATCCTGTCACCTCTGCCATATTCACTTGCTCAGAAGTAAATTGCAGGTCCCACCCATCAGTGATATTTGCACAAGGGTGACTACTAGAGTGGAGATTCAGGGCAGGGAGCCACTGAAGAATCTGTTTGCTATAGCTGGTTACAAAAATGACACATTGTATATATGCCCTTTTTAAAAAGAAATGTATGCTTTTAAATGTTACTGTCTTTAGAATTATTGTTGGTTTTGTTATTTTGTAATAAAAACATTTATTTTTTTGGAGATAGGGTCTGACTGTCTTTAATTTGCTGTCCTGAGTTTACTATGTAACCCACACTGGCCTCTCATCTATGGAAATCCTCTTGATTCAACCTCCAATGTGCTGGGAATATAAGGCTTTCATTTCTTCTTTACTTCTTATTTTACCTCTTTGTAACATTCAAATTTTGAAATCAGTAATTGACATTTTCATTATAATTAGATACTGTTTATTACTCAGCCACATACTATATTTTGACTCTTTCTAAATTTTCTGCTTATTAAAAATTTGCATAATTTTCTGTTTATTGTTTCTACCCACATGCTCCAATAGTTTTTCATTTTTTTCAGATTTTCCTTTATTTATTAACATGTAACATAAGTAGCAACTAGTTCATAAAATGTAGGAAATATAGTAAACAAAAATAGTTAAAGAATAAAATGAGCATCAGTATTCACAATGCTAGGCTAAGAAATTACACATGACAGTTATCTTGGGTGGGCCCTCTGAATTTCCTTCCCTGGTACCTACTGTTCTCCACCTGGTCCCAGCCATTTTACACGTCAGTGGCTCTCTTGGGGCCACTGCTCCCCAGTGCTGTGGTTTTGTTTCCTTCACTCTCATATGAATACATGCCTACTCTATGCAGTTTCATTTTGAAAAGCTGGAAGCCTGTGCTTGTGTGTTTCAGAGCAGGTTAATTGCTTTTGTGGTGCTGGGAACTGACCCTGGGGCTCTTTTGCTTGTCAGGCGAGTGTGGCTCCAGTTAACCACTTTAGCAATCCCTAAGTCTCAGTGGCGTAATGTAGCCAAAGCTTTCCGCTCACATTTACGTCCTTTTCTGCTGTGAGTTGGAAATCAACTAAAGAGTTAGTCTGTCCTACAGTCACTGAGGAGTTTTGGCTTTTTATCTGGAGACTTTCTATCCCCTAGGGCCTGGGAGGGCCTCATAGTGCTTTGCTTCTGGCTGGCAGATGCCAGGGTAAAGAAAGGGAGTGTGGTAGAGTTCAGAAAGTGATGGCAGACCTGAACCCTGCGCGCTTGCCCACTCTGCATTGATCGAACACGGTGACTCTGCCCTAGGAAGGGGGAGAGCATAACATAACTCTGGGGTCCAGGTAGAAAAGGGGAGCAGCCTGGCGAATGGTAAGCCAGTCTTCACCGCAATGTGTCTCTGAGTGGTATATTGTTTGGGTTTGGAAAACTGAGTAGCTATGGAAGGAAAACCCATTTTGCCCACTAGATGAAGACTCCTGAGAGTGGAAAATCAGAAGAGTCTTCCTTGAGCCTGGTGGGTAGAGTTTTGGGAAAACTTGTTATGAGTTCTGAGAAACATGTGGCTCATGATAATCAAGTCATCTATTGTAGCCAAAATGTTTCCAAGGTGTTAGTAGATATCTGGACAAATGTGTCTAAGGAGGCAGACTGCTTTGTATGCATTTTGCCTCTGAGTGCATCATGTTCTGGTTCAGGGATAGATAAAAGTTAACACCCTGCTGTGAAGTAGGTCAGTCTACCTAGGCATCAAAGGAAGGGACCACAGTGGCGCACCGTGCCCCATGTCTGCGCTCTGTGCGCTGGCACCCAGTTCGCGAGCTTCAGGCAAGGGGGCTGGAGGTTAAAATACACAGGCACACACAGACAGAGAGACAGTGACACGGGTCATCCTTGAATTCCCCAAGAATGCCTCCTTTATTGTGTTCAGGGGCAGATTATTTAGAGATAGCCATGCCCCAGCCAAACCCACCAGAAACCACTCTCCTGCCATTAGGAACTCCTGAAGGTCTCGTGCTCAGAGCAGCTGTAGGCACTCAGATCAGGGGATTACAAGAAATTCAGGATCTGGGGTCTCACTGCTCCCAACACCACAGCTTAACAAGGGGTCAAGGCAGACTGAATTCGGATGAAAACTTGCACGGATTTAGGTTAAAGGGACATCCCAAAGACTGTGGGAGTCTAGTTATGACAGTGGTCCTCTCTTATGTTTCTTGAGTTACATGGATTCAGTTTTTTTTCCTGGAATAGCCATCATCCCACTGCAAACCCCTAATGTTCCTCTTTTGTGTTAGATTTATTTCTCATCTGCTTAGGTCTTTTGATTGTCATCTTTGGTGAAACATTTTAATAGCTTATTGAAAAAGCTTATAAAATAGGTGAGGTTTTGAGCCCTTACATATCTGGAATGTCTTTCATAATCAAGTTTGAGAAGAGTGTGGCTTGATTGGGTTATAGGTTGATTGTGGGTTGTCTGTGACTTTGCTTCATGAGTTTATCTTCTTGGTTCCCGAATGCCTAGAAATCTGAAGGCATTCTAACCGTCAACTTCTATGTGACTGCTTTTCTTAGTCTCAAAGGCTTAGTATTGTCTTATTTTCAGTGTTTGAATTCACCATGATAACTCACTGCTGCAGACCTTGCTGTGATGCAGACACTGGTGTTGAACTGGCCTTTTCTGTCTGACAACCTCAGCTTCTAGGAAGGTGTGCATGTTTCTTTGCTCCACAGCCTCTCTCGTCCTCCCCTCATCTTTCTCGCCTCTGTTTCTCAAATGTCACCATCGCAGACCCCACTCCTTGTGCTTATTTAGACTTTGACTCTTTTGTTTCTTTTTTTTTCTTTCTGTTGTCTGAGATTTTCTGAACTTCACTTTCCAATATGTCTGAGGTTTAAGAGATTATTATTATTGTTATTATTATTTTGAGACAGGGTTTCTCTGTGTGTAGCCGTGACTATCCTGGTGCTTTGTAGACCAGACTGGCCTTGAACTGACAGAGATCTGAGTGCTACTCTCTTGCCCAGTTGCTCTTTTTCATTGTTGAAGTTAGACAATAGTCCTTACTCTTTTTGTAACAAATGGCAGACAAAACCAGGTTTAGTGAGGCTGCTAATTATCACTTATTCATTTCTCATTTACTGTACTTTCTTATATCAGTTATAGGCTTTTCTTAATTTTAGACAAAAGGGAAACATAGTGGTATTTTATTTGTGGTTTTAATAAATAAAACTTGCCTGACACAAAAACATGGATGAATGTTCTGGGTATGTAACTTGGTCATCTGGATATGCAAGGCCTTGGCTCTCATGTCTTGCACCACAGCCATCAAAACTGTGGACAAGGTACAGAATTTTCAGTCAGCTGTTCTCATAGACTAAATGGATCACTCCTCTATTTAGTTTATTGCTATAGTCTTGAAGCTGGTTATTATAAAATTATTGTTGCTTTTTGTATATGTATTATGTGTGTGTGGTGTTCCTGTGTGTATGCATTGGTGTACATGTCTATGGAGGTTAGAGGTTGAAGTCAGGTTTCTTTAGTTGCTCTCTACCGTATATATTAGGACAGTGTGTGTCTGTGAACCTGGAGCTTGCTGATCACTTATCTAATTAGCTAGCTTGCCCAGAGATTACATGAGGCTTGGGTGGAGAGGTAGTGGGGGAGACATTCACTTGTCCTTTACATGGCTGCTGGAAATCCGAACTTTTGTTCTAACCCCTTACTGCAAAGGCTTTAGTTTCTAAGCTGTCTTCCCAGCCCGAGTTGATGCTTTTCTGCTAGGAAGCCGCTCTGTTACAGCTGTTAGTGTGAGGGTTAATTAGCAGCATTAAAGCTTAAAGGTGAAAGTGTGAATGTATTCATTGCCTTTGTTATTGTTTATATGTGCATATTTTAGCACATTTGCCAACTTATTTTTATATGCCATTTCCCATCTTTTCTACTGAATAGGATATTAAATTTGTCTCTTCTTTTTCTGTTTACCTTCAGTTTTCTGGGACTGCTATTTATTATGTGACTTAAAGCTATTAATATCAGCTCATGCCATTTTCTGTTTTTATTATAGATTAAAAAAATTTGGACAGTCATATTTATTCATACAATTTTTCTTTATTATTAATCTTTTTTATTAAGTTTAAAAAGATTTACGTGTCTGTGTTGGAATGTACATGTGAGAGTCAATACCCTTGGCGTCCGTAGTTGTTGGACCACAGATGCTCCTCACTCAGTATGAGACATAAAGTGGTGCCGTCCTTGTTGCCGCAAGTCCTGCCTCAGCCTTCCAAGTGCTGGATTATCGCTGTGTGCCACTACACCTGGCTTGTGTTGTGTTTGAAAACGTACACTTTCTCACCTGTCCACTCTTGACTCAACTAAAGGCTAAATATATCTAGAGAATTGCCTTCTGAGCTTTTCTTTGACACCTTCGTTTTGATACTCTGATTTCACAACCTTCGTTGTTTTTTTGGTATCAGTGATAACATAATTTTCTGTTGCATGTAACAGTTTACAGAAACTTATCTGTTTGAGCTTGTGAATGACACTTGTTATATAGGAATGGATTTAATAAAGAAATGCAAGACCTACACATTGAAAACATGATATTGTAGACAAAGAGGACTAAAATAACTGAAAAGAATCCCATTATTATGGGTCTGAGGTTTAATATTATTAAAATTGTTCCCCAGTTGACTTATAAAGCCATTGTAATTGCTGTTATAACTCAGGGTGCTTTTTTCTTTTTTCTTGATTTTCTTTCCAAAAAATGACAAACTGTTCTTAAAATTTACATGGAAGCGCATAGGACTCACATGCCAAAAGCCTTAAAGTTACACGTTGTAAGTTGGCTGACTCACTTTTTCCAATTTTAAAACATGATACAATGCCACACTAATGAAGATGATGTGCTACAAGCATAAAGAAAAATATATTAATTGATGGTGTGGAACCAAGTACCCCCCCCCCCCCATCTGCCTTTGCTTTTATAGCCAGGTGACACAGAGTTCTATTTAATTATATTATTAGTGTGTGGGGGTTTGGAGTGTTTGGGCAAGCCATGGTTCAGGTGTGTGGTAAGAGAATAACTTTTGCGGACTTGGTTATTTTCCTTGTACCTTTACATGGTTTTGGGAATTGAACACAGGTCTGTTGGCAGGCTTGCTTGGCAAGCACGTATATCCATGGAGCCATCTTGGCCCACCACCTGATTTTTTTTTTTTTTACAAGGGTAACATGATATTTTACTAGAGAAAGTAGTCTTTACAACATGTAATGCTAGGACAAGTAGATTTTCACAGACAAAAGAATGATGTTTGATCCCTGGCCTTATGCCATATTAAAAAGTTAACTTCATGAATAATAGATGCAGGAGCAAATACTGTGACCTTGGGTTAAGCAGAGGTTTCTTGAATACAGTACCAAAAGAAACAACAAAGGAAAAATAAATAGACCTTCCTGAAAATTTTTTCTTTTTACATGCGTGAGTGTGTTGCTTGCATATATAGCTGCACCATGTGTGTGTAGTTCCACGAAGTCCAGAAGAGGACATCAGCTTCCCCTGGGACTGGAGTTACAGAGGGTTGTAAGCCATCGTGTGAGTGCTGGGTATTGAACCTGGGTCCTCCAGTGGAGCAGCCAGTTCTGTTACCTGCTGAGCTATCTCTGGAGCTCGAATTTCCCCTCCTCCTTCTTAGTAGAACATCATTACAGATAGATAGGTGGTGGCACTGCAGATACGGCTCAGCAGTAAAGAGTGCGCTGCCCTTGCAGAGGACCTAGGTTTGGCTTAAAGCATTCACATCAGGTGGCTCACTACCACTTGTAACTCCAGTTTTAGGGGTACAAGACTCTCTGGCTGCCACAGGCACATGTGCTTATGTGTATGGAACATATAAATATAAATCATCTTCAAAAAGAAGGATAGATAGGTCGTATGCTACCTTCTCTCTGACATTTTCCACTTTGATTTTTCCCATTCTCTTTTGTTCAGCTACAAAGCAATGGCCATACCATACAAAAAATGCCTCACCAATTCTTGGTAGCCTTTTTTTTTTTTTAATTTTTAAGATGGGAGTCTCATTGTAATCTTAGCTGGTCTGTAACTAACTCTGTAGACCAGGCTGGCCTCAAATTCACAGAGAGCCACCTGCCTCTGCCTCCTGAGTGCTGGAATTTTAAATAGCAGGTATTTTTAAAAATATAGACCAAGTAAAACTATATGACATATTTTGTAAAAAACCTCCTCTATTAATTGTATCAAAAAATTTAAATCGATTACATGTTTCTTGTTTTTGCTTCCAGCTTTGTTCTTTGTTACAAGGTTTCACTTATTTGTAATTGTTTGGTGTATGTGTATGGTGTATGTGTTGTATATGCACATGTGTGTGGTGCCACAGGAGATGCTGGTTCCCTTCTCTGCCATTCTCTACCTTATTCCTCTGAAACAGGGTCTTTTGCTGGCCCTGGAGCTAGGTTGGCAGCCGCCAAACTCCAGTCACCTTCCTATTTTCCCCTCCTGTAGTGCTGAAGTTAAAGGAACAAGGCTACACCCAGTTATTTTTTTACAGGGGTGCTAGGGATTTGAATTCAGGTCCTCATGCTTAGACACTAAAGACTCTTACCCATTGAAGTAAGGTCTTCCCCATACCCTTTTCTTGCTTTGTATTTATTTCAGTTTTAAGTCTCTATCTTTAACAATAAGTAATTTTACCCCCTACTGTTTCATTCTCTGAGATACTTCAACAGGCCTAGAGAAAGATGGCCATTTGAGCAATACTAGAAAGCAGTTTGCTTATAGAGGTGCAGAGAATGTATTTGTTGGTAAAAGTACATCATCCAAGTTTGGGTTCTCTGTGGTTCATAACTGATTATTATAAAAACTGTCTCAGACATGTAACCCATTACTGTTCATTTATAGAATAGCAGGGTTAGCAAGAAAGGAAATACAACCACTGGCCTGCCATCTTATGAAGAGAGGAAGTGGACAGATTATCTCTTGTGTTGGGTATGGAGGACAGTGTACTTTCAGATCACAAGACTTAAAAAGGCATTTTTTTTTTCTTTACAGTGCTTAGGCTAACCCTGTGGAGTGTAGGCATAAATAGGAGCCTAGAAAAACCATTATAGGTTCTGATGTTGTTTGGGGAGTGAATTTGTGTTTAGTTTCCCCTTTCCTTATTCTGTGAAGTCCTGGGGTTTTGTCTTATATAGTTATTTTCTGTCTTCATTTATTTATTTATTTTTTTGAGACAGGGCCTCACTCTGTAATCAAAAACATTTGAACTTGAAATCATGAGAGACATGCCACCAGGCTCAGCTATATTTAAATAATTTTTATATCTTTTTCTCAGTTTCTTGATATACTTTTCATATCTATGAATTTTACAAATTTCTTTCTCATTTTATGTATTAATCTCATTTGATATTTGTAGAATTGATATCTTGAACTAATTCTTTTCATTCCTCTCTCTCCCTCTGACCTTTTTTTTCCCCTCCCAAGACAAGGTTCCTCTGTGGTCCTGGCTGTTCTGGAACTCGCTCTGTAGACCGGGCTGCCCTAGGGCTCACAGAGATCCACTTGCCTCTGTCTCCCAAGTGCTGGGATTAAAGGTGTGTGCCATCACCACCCTACCATGATCTCTCTTTTAATTCAGGGAATTGGACCATTCTTTCCTTTGCCAATCACTGTTTTTCAAGTGCATATGTAACTATTTGTATGATATTACCTTTACTTTTTTTCCAAATAAAATGTTTTAAGAAATATAATTCCTCAGTTCCCATGCCTTTTGTTGACCTAGTCATTCATTCTTCTCAACCATTACATTTCCCAGATATGTTTTTAAAAACATTTAAAACCATACAGGGGAATTAGAGCAGTTGTAACTGAGTGCAGTGAACTTGCCGTCCGATTCCATCACTTTGTCTTTGTTGTTGTGGAAATATGGAGCAGAGATTGGTACATTTCAACACTGCATTTTAGCTTGCACATCATTAGCTGACCTTAAAGCTCATATAGAGGTCTTTCTTTTTCTTCTGAGACAAAATTTATGAAGAAAAATCTACACAGATTTTAAGTTACTGTTGATACACAGTTTCTATAGTTCTGTTTCTATGAAGATCTTCTGCTGAGGAGACTGAAAACCTGCAAGGCTACCATCTCCAAACTCATGTTTTTCTTTATGTTCTCAGAAGTAGACTTTAAATATCATAAAACACCTTACAGCCTTTTCTTTTCATCATATAAATGTCCTTCACAGTAAAATAGTTATAGTCGAAAGTATTTTTATTTTTTTTTATAGCTCATTCTTTGAGTCAACGAAAGTCTTTAGCTTGGCTAGTGGTATCACATGTGCATGCTGAAGATGACCCAAGGCTATCTCTGTTTAGTTAGAAGTTAAAACTGTCGCCAGCACAGTGATAAAGTTCTATAACTCAGCTGCTCAAGAGGATGGGCAGCATGATGAGGATCCATCTCCAGAGAAAAAGAAAAGGCCCGAGCATGCAGCTCATTCATATAGTTAGTCCTTGCCTTATCTACGTGCAACCCTGGGTTCAGTCCCTAGGACTGGGTGTTGGGTTAAATGAGCTGTTTCTCAGCAGTGTATCTAGGAAAAGGGGGGCATGCAGTTTGTCATGCATTTTACACTCTGTCATGGGGAAATTTTGGGGGTGGTCATGATAGAAATTGAACCCAGGGCTTCTTCCCTGAACTGGACCCTCTCGTGGGCATATTCAATCTCAGATTAGGTTGTCTTCATCATCCTTGTTATTCTTTAAGAAGAGTTTGTCTTTCCTCTGTAAATGGGTGTATCTAAAATAACAATTGTAATAGGTCCTTTATTCTTTTTAAAGGAATAATTTTATTGGCATATAGTCATTGTACATAATAATGAATTTCATTTCTAAATAAACATATATACATTTCATATACATATATATATTTTACTGTGACTGTGTTCTCTCCCATGCTTCTTCCCCTTTCTTTCCCCCCATGTTGGCTCTCCTTGTTCATTTGAACAATTTTACTTCTACTCTCAGGTTTTATATATGTGTATTTATTATACACACATATGTAGGTGAATTTTTTCTTTTGGCCACCAGCTCACAAATAATGACACAGAAACTTACTGTTAATTATGAGAGCTTGGCCTTACCTTGGACTTGTCCTACCAGCTCTTATAACTTAAATTAACCTGCTTATATTAATCTATGTTTTACCATGTGGCTTTTTACCTTTCATTCTGTTTGTCCAACTCCAAGCTGTGTCTCCATGGTATCTCCTGTGTGCCTCGATTATCCTCTTCCTCTCTTTGCCTGGGAATCCCACCTATCTCTCCTGCCTAGTTATTAGTGTTTACCTTTTTATTACATCAATCACAGCAATATATCTTCACAGTGTACAAATATCCCACATACACCCATGTGATTTTGTGTATATAGATGCGTTCTTAGTTGTTTGGTGGTCTTGTCACTGTATCTTCAGCAATAGCCAGAACTCAAAACCTATTGCATGGACAGTGTTGCTTATAATTAACTTCAGAGTGACAGACCTTCAGTTACTTGTTCTGTGTTTTGTGCTTTAATTGGAATTGATTTTTAAATTACACTAAAAGGCAAACTTGCCTTTCTTTTACTTTAAAGCTCAATATTAAATCTTGTTGGTATATTCTAATACTTGGGCTGAATACCTTTCCTGAAATATCTTTCATGATTGGAAATAGATTTTAGAAAAAGTTATATTAATTTTATATTGTTAGGTACAATTACAGCTTGATTACTGATTTCTGAGCTAAGATATTCCCATAGATTGTTGTGAATAGCTTAGTGCAGTTACCAAGTTGGTAATTGATATAAATTGAAATATTCTAAAATTCATTGAAATAATTTGGTAACAGAAAGAGGAATTCAGTCCCTGATTTCCTTGAGGAGAGATAAAGTTGCAGTGTCAAAATTGAATGTTCAACTATGTCTTATGATTCTGCAAGGAAAAAATTCTAACTTACTGTTTTTGTTTATTTCAGGGCTGAACACAAGTAAACTCCTTTTTAAGAGTTAAAGAATTATTTAAAAAAAAAAAAAAAACAAGATGGGGACGCCTGGTTCTGGAAGGAAAAGAACACCCGTGAAAGATCGCTTTTCTGCAGAAGATGAGGCTTTGAGTAACATCGCTAGAGAGGTGTGTGCCGGGGAACACAGATGATGCTCACAGGTGCCGGGGAGCACGGATGATGCTCACAGGTTCTGGGGAGGCAGATGTTTGTTTGTCAGAAGCTGTTGGAGATTTGCTAGGAACAAGGCATTATGTATGACTGGCCTCTCA